GTGTGTGTGTCGCGGAGGATGTCGTTTGCGCACACAGGGTCCTTTAGCAGAGGACAGAGTGTGTGTGTGTGTGTGAGTGAGAGAGAGAGAGATGTGTCCCTCTTCATCTCAGACTTGTTTCGCCGGCTGACAGAGACAAATGACAGCACTCAGAAATGACTTGCAGCCTCTCCATCCTAACACGTTGAGTGGTTTGAAATGACACACACATACGAATGCATTCCCATTTCGACTACAACCTTTTGTTGTAGGGCTGCACAATTAATCAAATTTCTAATCGCGATTACATTTATGGATGCCACAATCGTTCAAAGAGGAAATTAATCGTTCAAAGTGCACTTATGTTATTCTGCGTGCTGCTTAAGATGCGTTTTTTTCTTTCTACATGTTATCTTAAGGGTTTTTCCCATTATTTTAATTTTAGTTTTAGTATAACATTATAATACCATTCATATATTTACTTTTTTATAATTTAAAGAAGAAACCAATCCGATGTATATTTGACATTTGAGGCTTAATACTATAGAAAAGCACTAAAAGGTTTTCAGTTAGAGTGTTTTCAGCTTGTTTATTTTCATATAAAAATACGGCATGCAGTTGCATCGAACAATGGTATAAACATCATTCAATGTAAATTGTGATCATAGTAATTAATAATCGCAATTACAATTTCAAGGGAATAATCGACAATTATGATTTTTGTCATAATCGTGCAGCCCTATTTTGTTGTCAGTTTGGCGTCGCATACAAATGGCCTTGAAATGAAGCTTCTTTTTGTTTTTAGGTGTTTTGGCATGAATGAAAGAACATTTAATTTAGAACAAGATTTGACCAAATGGAATAAGCATCGTTTATATCTGTAAAAGCAGCTTTAAATGGTTTTTTTTCCTTCGTCATAATTTTATCATCTGTTTTACAGCTTTTATTTATTCACATTCTATGAGAAACAGCAAGTTTTGCATCTTCTCTCCCATTTACAATGCTGTTTGGGTTTAAATACGCAAATGAGAGTCTAGGTCTGGATCATTATTGCAGTGGTTAATATGTTTCTGGAATGTTATGTGACAAATAACAAAACAAATATTTTAACCCTTCGTCATGTGTTTCGTCTCTCCCATTTTCAATACAAGATTTATTTCTAAAAATGAATGAAACTCTAGATAGAAATAAATGTGGCTGGTGATGTTACATAAGGCTGTCGAAACAATGCCATGATGAATGCACATCGTAATCAAAGGCAGTCCAATGAAATTTTAGACTGTGCAACTTTTTTAAAAGAAACATCCACTATAACAGATTTTCGGACAACAGTCAAGCGAACCTAGAGAATTCATTACAAGACTAGTAGCACGTGAGGTTCGAGTTACAAGGTGCATGAAGACAAAATAAGATATTAGACACATAACAGACAGTCATATCCATCTACAGCATGTGAAGCTAAGGCACTGCATCATTCCTTTATTCCTCAGGGTTTGAGAAGATAAAGTGTGAATTACTGAAGTAGTTCTGCTAAAGAGATGGAACGAACCGCAGGTTAAAGGTCATCTTTTTAGTCAGCAAGATTGTATGGTCTGAATTTCATCTCCAGATGCCCCTTTCACAGTTTTTTTTTTCATACAGTTTGTACATTCTTATAGTGATGCACAAATGTTGGATATTTAATTGTTACACTCATTTTGTTTTTGTTTTTTTATTACTACTGCCATTATCTAAAAATTACTTATAATAGCACAAGATTACAGACAAGGTGCATGAAGACAAAATAAGATATTAGACACATAACAGACAGTCATATCCATCTACAGCATGTGAAGCTAAGGCACTGCATCATTCCTTTATTCCTCAGGGTTTGAGAAGATAAAGTGTGAATTACTGAAGTAGTTCTGCTAAAGAGATGGAACGAACCGCAGGTTAAAGGTCATCTTTTTAGTCAGCAAGATTGTATGGTCTGAATTTCATCTCCAGATGCCCCTTTCACAGTTTTTTTTTTCATACAGTTTGTACATTCTTATAGTGATGCACAAATGTTGGATATTTAATTGTTACACTCATTTTGTTTTTGTTTTTTTATTACTACTGCCATTATCTAAAAATTACTTATAAAAAAATACCAAAATTTAACCTTTAAAGTCACTACTTGCTATTTGATCCAACTTGTATTTCTTTTAAACAAAATTGTATAGATTTTTAATATTGGTCATGTACTACCATTCAGATTTCTGGGTTTGTTGCTGATTTTGGGCTCAAGAAACATTTCTGATTATTATCAACGTTGAAAACAGTTGTGCTGCTTCATATTTTTGTGGAAACGGTGATACGTTTTATTTTTCAGGATTCTTTGATGAATAGAAAGTTCAAAAGAACAGCATTTATTTGAAACAGAAATCTTTTGTAACATTATAACTTTTGATCAATTTAATGTGTCCTTGCTTAAAAAATATATTAATTTCTTAATAATAAAATTAAATCTAACTGACCCCAAACGTTTGAACAGTAGTGTATGACAGTTGTTGTTATTAACATAAAAAATAATTATTAGCTGTATTTGCTTGAATTTTAATACTGGTGCATCCCTACTTGAGGGTGGGCTGATTTGACTTTAGCCTCTAAACAAAGGCTTAAGCAGTCACCCATAAACTCCATGCCTAACAGTTTATATTTTCAGAATGGCAGGTAATGATCTGTTAGTGAAGTGTGTTCTGTGTTGTCTTGTCTTGCGTTGAGCGGTGTGTGTGTGTGTGTGTGTGGGAGGCTGGGAGTCTCTCTCAGCATTAACACTGCTTACATGGGGTTAATTTCATTACCGGTCAATGGCAGCTGCTAATACACAATGCAAACAGACAGAGCCTTCAGATGAAGTTCCTTGAATACACTTGGGCACGGATGGGATCTTATCTTTACAAGCCTATCCGTGGTCTCTCAGCTGTAATAAACTCCTCCATGCTCAAACTTCTCCATGATACCTCGGTTAGGTAGCACGTCGGATATCACATTAATGGTTCGGTTTCCATACCAACATCCTGACAGAGCGGAGATGAGGAAGATAAATAGGAGAGCGGGGCCGTCTCACATGCCGCTTGTCAGGGAGTTTGCGGTGGCGAACCATTATTAGCTGTATTTGCTTGAATTTTAATACTGGTGCATCCCTACTTGAGGGTGGGCTGATTTGACTTTAGCCTCTAAACAAAGGCTTAAGCAGTCACCCATAAACTCCATGCCTAACAGTTTATATTTTCAGAATGGCAGGTAATGATCTGTTAGTGAAGTGTGTTCTGTGTTGTCTTGTCTTGCGTTGAGCGGTGTGTGTGTGTGTGTGTGGGAGGCTGGGAGTCTCTCTCAGCATTAACACTGCTTACATGGGGTTAATTTCATTACCGGTCAATGGCAGCTGCTAATACACAATGCAAACAGACAGAGCCTTCAGATGAAGTTCCTTGAATACACTTGGGCACGGATGGGATCTTATCTTTACAAGCCTATCCGTGGTCTCTCAGCTGTAATAAACTCCTCCATGCTCAAACTTCTCCATGATACCTCGGTTAGGTAGCACGTCGGATATCACATTAATGGTTCGGTTTCCATACCAACATCCTGACAGAGCGGAGATGAGGAAGATAAATAGGAGAGCGGGGCCGTCTCACATGCCGCTTGTCAGGGAGTTTGCGGTGGCGAACCGCACCGTTACCGGAGCGGCGCAACAGCCTTAATCCACATTTAATTGAACTCTGGAGACTTTGAAGTGAGGCTGCAGAGCAGACAGGAGCAGTGACATTGCTCTCAGCACACAGCACAGCTGCTGCCCTCTCTCTCTTCTTCGGTCCTCTCTGTCTCTCATTAATGAGTGCATATCAGCGTTAGCCTTGATACTAGAAGATCTGAATGTCTGATTAACTGAGCCGCTCAGATCAGGTGCGGTGGTCTCTTTCTCCTCTCTGTCCTAACAACCAATCCGTAATTAAGCTAAATTAGAAATGTGAGGAAACCGTGAGCATATGGAGGAAAAGCAACAGATAGGCAGAATTTTAAGACTAGAGTGTTTGTGACAGCTGAGCATCTGTAAATGCAAAATGATGCTAAAATCGTCTTTCTCTTTTTGTCTCAAGAATATCGTCATTTTGCAGGATCAGGGAAACCTGCCATCGTTGGAAGCCTAATTTGGTGGCTTCTATCAAAGGACAGACACATTTGCATCATAGTATTGCAGTGTTTGTCATCAGCGGTGAAAAATATGAAGTGTATTGTCCTTCCTTTTTTAATGCATATTTGTTTTGTTAACTATGCACCATTATATTGTTAGTAGCATTTATTTATTTGTTGGTTTATTAGTTTGTTTTATGTAAATAAATTGATAAAATATGATTCAAAAATATTTTATAATTTAAAAAATAAAATTTTTATAGAACTGTATTTGCATTTATCATAGTTTTTCCCGTTATCTGACATATCTTTGATCCACATCTCCACTTTTGGAGATTCCAGTGTCTCTTATCCAAAATAATCTGCAGCTATTTTTTTTAATTATTATTATTATTTTTACTTCTGTATACAATCCCTAGATTTAAAAATGGTGCATTGTTTCTAAGAATTTGTTTTCTGTTCACTTTCCAAAAAGTTGTTTTCAGCATTTCTTGTTTGTTTTTTTAATAATAAAAATGTGATGGTTGTGCAGCAGTGGCACATGATTTGGCACATGTTTCGCTCACACCAACTTGAAGGGCAAGTACTGATAGATTTCCAGTTCTCTTGATTGCCTTTTAGTGAACTGTGGCCTTCCTGCACCTCTTCAGTGTGTGTCTGAATGGGGCTCATTTTAGCGCTTAAAGCATCTCTTTTTCATGAGGACTGATCAATAATACACATTAATCCTGCTCTGAGACCCTGGCCATGAGCTATGGGTGATAAATGAACTGAAACCTTCCCTGCTGCTTTCTCACTCATATCCCCTCAGTTTTTGCATTTCTCTTTGATCAGTCGTTTTTCTCGTTGTCTCTCCTGAACAGATTTTGGCCTACACAGAGGGTCTGCATGGGAAATGGCAGTTCACAGAGATCAGGGCAGTTTTCTCTCGCCGCTATCTGCTACAGAATACAGCGCTGGAGGTCTTCATGGCCAACAGAAGTAAGCTCTGATCCGCTGCTGTTCTGGAAACTCTCAAAAGGGTTCAGTTTTTGAGGGGATCATTATACTATAGAAAACATGTTTCAAAATTTCAGTTCTAAAAAGATCATTTAACAAATTTTCCCTCTAATTTTGAGTCAACCTTAGAGGGAAAAATAGACATGGGGTAATAATATATAAAATATAATTTACATTTTACTTGATATTTTTAAAAATCGTAAAATAAGTAATGAAAAATGTAAGTTTTTCTCATGACTCTTTAAAACAGTTCAACAAAAATTATGCTTATTTACACCTAGTGCATAAAGTGTATAATACATTTTCTTTTCTCCTTACAGCGGCAGTCATGTTCAACTTCCCAGATGCAGCCACAGTGAAAAAGGTGGTGCACTGTCTCCCCAGAGTTGGAGTCGGGACGAATTTCGGCCTTCCTCAGACCAGGCATGTTCCCTATCTCATGTGCACTGTTCATTTACAGAAGTAAACACTCCTTTTCCCTCCTATTTGAAATCTAGAATACCCGCAGAAAGCTATCCGTTAGCATTTCCATTCATCTCAATGACACTTGCACTTGTGCAGAAGTGTGGGATTTGAAGTCTGCCATAGCTCTTAGCTCTTTTGGCTAAGCATTCACTTCCGTAAAACATGTTTCTGGCCTAACACTGCTGGTTTGTGTGTGTGTTAATGTGTGTGTGGTGTCAGGGGTGTCTGTAACACTGCCTAATTACGTTCACACAAACACAATTCACATCATTTATTTATCTCTCCAACTGAGAAATAAATACAGGGGCGAGAGCAGAGCCTGCGGGGCAGACTGGAAACACGGGCAACACACACACTGCTGCTGCTGCTGTAGTTCAGCCAAACAAAAGATGATTTAGACAAGTGGAACTCCATCACAATATCCCTCTAAATCAGTGTTCTTATTAAAAGTAAAAGTTCTTTGAAATTAAGTAACTAAAACAACAATGTGGTTAACAGAATCTAGTGAATATTGATTCCACACAGGGCAGAGAGGTTTGACCATTACAGACAGCCCTCTCCTGCCATGCCTTTCTGCTAACGTTCGTGTGGCATTTCCTTAGCGTCGTGACTGCCTTGCCTCTGTGTTAGGAGGGGCAAAGGGCATTGGAAACTTCAGAGAGGCCTAATGACTGTAATCACGCTGGGTGACAGTGATGAATTCTCTAATTTCGCTTTGTTTTAATTGGATGGAGGGTCATTTGTTTTAGTGTCCGTGTATTTGCTTGCACTGAGCATGTTCATTTAATAGGTTTCCACATTACCCATGAGGCCGCTGTGTGTTCATGTCTGGATTTGGATGTAGGTTATATTCTGAGTTGCTGTCATTGAATCGGACTGGCCGAGTGGTATTTCCTATAACAGTACTGGAATGTTTCGCCGCTTGTGTCAGTCTTCTTGTCTGTGTTTGATTCACAGAATTTGAATATTGGCTTCTCATGGAAGATTTTTCATCAAAGCAAAAATTAACAAAGCGGCTAATCATATTGTGTCTATATTTTATACAAATGTTGTATTAAAGCACTTGGCACTTTTAAATACACAGCCTTATTTTTCATCCCAGGCTGATTGGAAATACATGCTTGTGCGACGTTTCTGCAACACCGATATTACGTACCTTATTGCACATTTCACGGCAGTTTCAAAGTAAATGTCCAGTGAGTGGCACTAAAACGCACGCTCAGTATGTGATCGTGGCCACGTTTTTATTATGTTGGTTCAAACCTAACCCTAAACCTTCCGGATAGTGTTAACGAAAGCAAAAGTGATATAAAACCCATTCGCTGATGCAGTCGTGCTGTTTTAACTTCCTTATACGAGGGTTTGAACTGTTTTGTCGAACCGTAGTTTCACAGGATTCGTACCAGAGCTCTTCACCTCACAAGTGAAACACCGTATCGAGTGAGCTACCGAGCAAACCTATACTGTGTTAGAAAACCCATACATATGAAGCTGGATATGTGACGTTCTAACGTTCAAAAGTATCAGTTTTCAATTCTCGCAGCATGTTAAAATTGTTTTGAAGTCAAAACTTAATATTGTGAAAATTGTGAGAAAATTAGGCTTTCTTAATCAAAACTCTGGCCCTGTAAATCATGCTTTGTGTGAAAAGGAATAAGAGTTGTCAGAGTTTTACTGCCTCTAGTGTTAATTTCAACTGGAAACTGCAGCGATTCATGTGTATAGGTAAGTTTTTTGTGTGATCGTGGCCACGTTTTTATTATGTTGGTTCAAACCTAACCCTAAACCTTCCCGATAGTGTTAACGAAAGCAAAAGTGATATAAAACTCATTCGCTGATGCAGTCGTGCTGTTTTAACTTCCTTATACGAGGGTTTGAGCTGTTTTGTCGAACCGTAGTTTCACAGGATTCGTACCAGAGCTCTTCACCTCACAAGTGAAACACCGTATCGAGTGAGCTACCGAGCAAACCTATACTGTGTTAGAAAACCCATACATATGTAGCTGTATATGTGACGTTCTAACGTTCAAAAGTATCAGTTTTCAATTCTCGCAGCATGTTAAAATTGTTTTGAAGTCAAAACGTAATATTGTGAAAATTGTGAGAAAATTAGGCTTTCTTAATCAAAACTCTGGCCCTGTAAATCATGCTTTGTGTGAAAAGGAATAAGAGTTGTCAGAGTTTTACTGCCTCTAGTGTTCATTTCAACTGGAAACTGCAGCGATTCATGTGTATAGGTAAGTTTTTTTAGTTTTGCAGGAATGTAGGTAGAGGCACGTATCAGTGAGCCTAGGTAGACTGACACAATTACTCTGCACTATTTTGTTTGTAAGCCTGTGAATATTGAAGCTGCAGAATTCAAAAATTGTGTTGTGAAATTGGACAGATGCTGAAACTAAAGAGCTTTTCTCTGTCCGAGTGCTAAAGAAATGAGTCAACAGATAACTGGAACAGCTCTTACTATCTCACTGTATTTTCATCCAATTTACATGTGGATTACGCCATACTCTGTACAATTTTTTTTTTCACCCGATTATGCATATTTCTTAATTTACAAAATATACCGTAAACAAAAAGTGCTTCTATTTGAAATGGCACATTAAATAGCATATTGCAAATCGATTGAACATTTCAGGTTACCGAATTTCTGAATGTGGTTTGTCTTTTTCTGACAGACGGATTTCTCTGGCCAGTCCGAAACAGCTTTACAAGGCCTCCAACTTGACCCAGCGCTGGCAAAGACGAGAGATCTCCAACTTTGAGTACCTCATGTTCGTCAACACCATCTCTGGTAAAAACTGAACACTGAATGCACCGATGAAGCTGAATGTACTGATGTACACTTCTGTGTTACACAACAAGCCACAAAATCTCTCTCTTCCATGTTAATCTGAGTGTCAGTCCTACTTTGTTGGTGACATACCTTTTATTTTTTGCTATGTTGGGCTACACTGACGACACCTCGTTGAACCAAAGCGCTACGACTCGAATCTCGTCACAGAGTTTGGAAAGTTATTTGAACTAATACTAATGGGGCCACGTATTTTAAACAAAAAAATAATAGTTGTCTTCTGCTCCCTGTAGTCACTGTTTCTTCAGTAACTGTGTTTCTTTATGCGAGACCCCTTGTATTTATAATGAACATGATGATGATGAAGTAAGATCATGATAATGGTAATAAAGGTGTGAGGAGTCTCGACACTTCTTGTGTTTCAGGCCGTACGTTTAACGATCTGAACCAGTATCCTGTGTTCCCCTGGGTAATCACCAACTACGACAGCGACGCTCTCGACCTCACTCTCCCCAGCAACTACAGAGATCTGTCCAAGGTAAACACATGACCACATACACTCACACAAACAGTCTGAGCCTCAAAGAGCTCCTGTAGGTTCAGAGACTGAAGGACATGTCTGAAGAGAAGTTTCGAAAACCCGAATACATGGGAGTATTTGTGTGAAACATGCCATGCAGACAAGTCAGATAATGGGCCTGTGTCTCTCGTCCTCCCCTCAATCAACCCCTACATCCCGCCTTCACCTCCTCCCCCATTTCCCGTTAGCCAGCCAGCCTCCCTAAGGAGCTAATTAATGAGCGTAGTAGTACTTGAGCTAAACACACAGACAGACTGACACAGCTCACTGCTGGGAACACCAGACCTGCCTTTGTCTCTCTCAGGCTCTCGCTTTATACATTTCATGCAGTTTTTGTAACAGTGCAGCATTTTAAATATTTTTTATTCATCATATAGTGTCATAATTTTTTTTTTTTTTTTTTCAAAATTCTTAATTTGAAATCTTAATTTAATTTCCAGGTTTAAATATTTTTGTATCCCAGATGCTCAGTGTGTGCTCAGGCTTTAAATACTGTATAAAACATTAGAGCTGGGTAAAAAAATATTGATTTCTCGATTTTAATCGATTCTCATTTTTATGAAACGATATCGATTCATAAATCCCAAGAATCGATTAGTCTCGTCTGTCAGATAATGAACGGAACATTGTAGTGCACCTCCCATCCAATAAAGTGCAATAAGCATTTTGTTACTTTTGATATGAAACAAAGTCTCAGATTTCAAATGCTGTCCATTTTATTACAATATTCAAATATTAAATGCCTTTTTGGCGCTGTTTAATGTGGAGTGACAGATCGTCTCCTCCGCTTTAATAGCAGTTACAGCATGAAATAAACATGAATGAACATCTGAAGGAAGGTATGAGTACAATTTACCGAAACCCGTATCCTGTCTCATGTATTTAAAGTTAAAGTTAGTATTATAACTAATATTACAAAAACTTTGAGTATATTTTAAGTGTTTAAATCAGAAAATTTCAACCTTCCATATTATTGACTCTCAGGCATATTTTACAGCATTAGTTGAGAGGGGTTTTTTTTCCCTTGAGAAAACTTGCCATGTCCTGTACCTGATATACAGTGGGGCAAAAAAGTATTTAGTCAGCCACCAATTGTGCAAGTTGAGGTATACCTATGATGAAATTACAGGCCTCTCTCATCTTTTTAAGTGGGAGAACTTGCACAATTGGTGGCTGACTAAATACTTTATTTCCCCACTGTATATCCAAAATAAACAATATCAAATCTAATCGGATCGCAAGCTTGTGAAGTATACTTGAATCGAATTATGAAATTTGTGTCAAAACCCAGCCCTATAAAACATGTATATGAAACATGTCAACATAAATATAATGATTAGATATTTAGAGTCTTACATTATAGCATGGCATATTTCAACGGTCACTGACTTTACCCATAATCCATATTAGAGCTTTGCGAACGAGGCTCTTTTGTTCTCTTAAATCAGGACTCGGACTCAAACACTTGTGGTCCTGATGCCTTGGTCTTTAATTGCAGTCGGTTGTTGTGTCAACTACTAATAGCTGTTTCGCTGAAGTGACAGTGATTAACCAGGATTAGTCCGAAGGAAGAACATGCTAGTTCTGATACTCCATCCTATCTGTCCTGTCCATTTTATTTAAATCATAAATCACTTATGTTTGTATCTCAAAACCATCTTGAAGAGCTCCTTTCTCAGTCTAGACCGGATGAATATTTCATGTCAGGGAGCTGGGGGGCACTCCTCCAAAAGAATGCTCTTTACTCGCATTGCACCATTTGGGTAATTGAATTGCACGACAAAAGTTGCGTTTTAAAACGCCTCCACCCTTAAACTTCACTTTAAAAGTGCTTGTGAAAGCTTGCCAGTCACTGCCTCAAAAATAACCATCCGTTTCATGTAATGGTGACCAATGGAGGGAGGACTGAGGATTACTTTTAGAGCTCAGATGATCAAACGAGTGTCCACTCTGACCCGAAATGGCAGAATAAATCAGTTCTAACAGGCAGGAAAACAAAGGACTGAGAGATAATGGAAGATGAATTCCTGTGCAGAAAGAATCATGCGGTTGCAGAAGTCACCCTTACTGTCTTCAGACTGAGACGATCGCTCACATATTGCTCTCCAGTGCAGATTTATATGCATGATGCTATCTGTATCTACTGCACTGTCTTTAGCAAAGAAATATCTCTGTGTTTTACCAATTCGGATTCGGCAAACAGCATGTTTCTTTCAGGTACAGACATAGCAGGTCAGGTTAATAAGTATTGGATATAATTACAATAATTTCAGTATAGTCAGGATAAAATATGCATTGTTTTAATGTAATTTGTATTTGACAATTAACTTAAAGTTCCTAAAGACAAAGGGTCTTTTTGGATTTTCTGTTTCATGATTTGCAAGTATGAGAGCAATAAAGTAAGTCTTTTAATAACGTCTCTGATTTAAACCTCAGTACCTCGGTCCGTTTAAAAAAATGTCACAATTTACCAGATCTTTACTATTGAGTTATTTTTGAGTTTCACAGACGCTGTAACATGCTTAGATTAGATTATATCCAACTTTGTCATTTTGCAGAGTACAAGTACAGAGCCAGTTATAATGTTATAGTAAAAATTAAGGCTGTCAATCAAATAATGCTAATCATCTCTATAAATGCAATGCACATATACATTGTATATATATATATATATATATATATAGTTCTCAGCTGTTAGTGGTAGACAGTTATCTTCACTACATACTTGAACAAATAAATATACCCAGAGACACTTACACACAGCTTGCAGCATATCTCTTTATTTATTTATTAATTTGTTCAGCCCTGTTCTGTTTCTTTGCAATGGCTTCTGCCCACTCGGTTAAAAGACAACAGTCCTATACACCATCCTGCATCACCCTCGCCTTTGTCTCTCTCTCTTTCCATCCCTCCCTCCCTCAAACTCTCTCTCTCTCGAATTTTGACAGCCTTGCCTTTATGTTCAGTCAAGCTTTCAAGCCTCAGGGAGAAACAGAGGCCGAGCGAGAGCAGCCCCTCCCTCTGCAGCCAGCAACAGCAAATCTCAACAATCTTTATTACAACTGCTTTATTCATGCTGTTGACACAGGCAATATCAGTGTATGAGCGGTGGACCATGACAACACCGTCTCGCCTGCGAAGGCCATCTGAACCTTGTATATGCTGTGTGTCTTTCTCTTTTTGTCCTTAACCCCTCCCGCTCTCTCTTGTCGTCTGCGTATGCCACGTCCCAGCACTGCTTTGATAGAACCAGGTCATGTGGGACCTTTTACACAGCGAGGTGAAATTGCCATAGACGCCGTGTTACACGCGCTGTCTTCCCTGCGGGCAGAGGAATGTGCTTCATGAATTTATGTTCCTTTTGTCTCATCGTTATGACCCCGCTGGCTTTCTTATCATAAACTCTAACCTCTTCGTGACATCTGGTGCAGCCAGAAACAACAAAACTGACTCAACTGAGTGAGCCAAAATAGGTTTTTGCTTCTTATGTGTCTCATTTGACACAAGTGTGTTGATCAGTTATGTTTCTTTTCATTCTTTTGTATTTTTTAAACTACACTGCAATACATATCACAGTGCATCAATATCGTAATAGGATTACGACTGAAATTGTTCCAAACGTGAGACAGAGACATGCACACAGGTCAGGTAGAGAGAGAGAATCTGCTGTATTAATTTTTATTGATGTGCTGTAGCTTTTCTACACTTCCTGGACGATATTGTCATTAAGAAACTGGCTTTTTTTAGCTAAGTTAATTTTACAAAAGAGTAACAGGATGGAATTTGAGGACAGAACAGAAACTTATACGTTGAAAGGTTTGAAAGGGAAAAAAATAACTCAAATATTACTTAAGAAATTGTCTAATGTTAGAAGTTATATGTGGAGACACTGTAAATGGCAACAAAAATTACTTTCGTGTTCACTTAAAGTCATGATGTAATGGAACTGGCGGCACATTTTCTTACGTATTATGATGTACATCTGAGTAAAACAGATTATCGAAAAATAAAAAATGTAGGGCAGTTTTCTATCTATTGGTTGTTGGTTTGGATGGAAGCAGATCTGAACGTGAGCTTGCAGTTGATTCTAAGAA